CTATTTAATTGAGATTCCTCCTACGGTGCTTATTTCTGTCTCAATAAGGCCTTGGCATGCTATGGGTAGCTAAATATATTGGCTGTTTCCTCTCCAATGCCAACCTAGTTTTTTAAATGTTCCCAAGTACATCTTCCCAGCTTCCCCTTAGAGAGAATTTGCAGCATTCATCCTCTGTAATGCAGAGTAAAAAACTGAGCAGAAGTTAAGCTTACTTAGAGACAAGAAAACAGAGGAGGATATATCCGGGCAGGAGAAGTATCTGGATTCACACATCCATGTGTCCATTCAGAGAGTCTCTATGGCGTCCCCCTGAGTTACTGGCACTGTGCTAAGTGGGGAGATTACACAGATCTGAGGACTCAGACGTGGGCCCTGCCACCTGTACCCACGGCGAGTGCTAACATGGAGGACACACAGAGCAGCAGAGGGAGGGCCTGCAGTGTCCTGTGGGAGAGGACATTTCTCTAAACAGCTTTCCTCCCTGTCCTAGAAGTACTTAGAGACTGAGGGGATGGGCCGGGCTGAAGAGCCCACAGAAACATGGGGAGAGATGGAATTTATGTGCATGTCACGTTAGTTTGGGCTCAACAGCATGGGTGCCTTTCCTAATAGAATTAATTCTTCTGCTGGATTTGGTACCTGGCTCTAAAGAGGTTGTGTATACATTTATTTTTCCTTTCTAAGGTTTGGTTTCTTTATCTTACAGGTATATCCATATATGTTATAAACATTTTTAGGGCCACAAAATCCCTTTTGTAAACTGGAGCATATATAGAATCTCAATATATAAGACCAATAATGTGGGTGAGCAGGTGGGAGACTCCAGATTAGTCCTGGCCTACCCCCCATTCATTCCTCACGGAGACCCCTCATGGGGATGCCAGGGGCCCCTAGTTGCAATTGGAATCCATGATTGAGATGGCACCTCAGCCTCCCTGGCCTGAACCCTCTCCTCTTCCCCTCCATTTGGACCTGTAGCTGCTCCTGCCTCCAGGAGGAGCCCGCACTTGCAGCCTGGGAGCTGCAGTGGAGTTTGGTGGGAGGTGATCTCAGAGGGCTCGGAACCCCCATGTCCAGGGAAGGGGTCAAGCCCTGTTCTGTGGGTGAAGAAGGTAGGTTTTCTTCTGAAAGCAGGAGTGCTGGTAGCCCAAGGAGGAAGAACATTCTGGCAGCACGTTATGGATGGCTCTGGCCCCATTTACACATCAAGTGCTCCTGGAAGATGATCTGGGGACAAGGGTCCTCATTTTCCCATCCTCTTGGTTGGACAACCACATCATATATGTCTACAGACACATTTCCACCTGTCAAAGTCTTTGGCATCTGAAACAGGGTTTACTTTCTGGGGTATCGATAAGGTAAGGCAGGAAATGATCTCCCCATTTCATAGGTGAGGAAACGGAGGCCCAGTGTGATTGTCTCTCCCACAAAAGAATTCTGACACTCACTTTTGAGTCTGTTGTCTATGCCCAAACCTTGTCAGACTCCTAAGCAGTTCCTCCTCCTCGGGACTCATTTTGTTGATGTATATCAGTTGCTCTGTGTTTCTTTACCTGTTTCCTTCCGCCCCCACCCCCCACACACAAATCTACAGTTCGATTTCCCGAACTTCTTGTCATTGCATAGAAGGAAACAGAATTAATAGGGGGCCATGAATGAATGATGCACAAGAGTTGTTGCCAACTTCTGTCTCTGCTGTGCTTTGGTAATCTTGCCAGGAAATTGGAGGGTGGACATGAGAATTTTAGAGTGAGGGTGATTTAAATCCTGGGAAGTCTATAATTCTCTAAATCTTATTAACGTTGGGGCTGAATTCCAAACATTCCTCTGGGTCTGTGTGTGGATGCTGTCAGCCTTTCCTAGCAGCTTCTCCACTGGCCTGGAACCTTCTAGGGCATTCCAGGTCCCCGTGCTTCCCCCTGCTCCCAGGACAGGCCTGTAGTCAGGCATCTTCACACTCTGCTTCCATCTGGAACTCTTTTTGTCAGTTCCTGATGCTGGCTGCCTCTGGGCTTGCTGTTCCAGTGCCCAGAATCCCACATGGCTCTGCCAGCCAAAGCCACAGGAAGCAGCATCAGCAGATAAGGGTGCCCTTCTTTGGAGGCAGGATGCATGGGCAGGAGGACCTGTCCCAGGAACCTCTGATGAGTTATTAAAGATAACTTAAAGAGGGGCCTCCTTGGTAGCCTAAGGGTTAAATCTCAGCTCTGTCACCCCTATGGCCTGAGTTTGATCCCTGGCCAGGGAGGTGACCCACATTTGCTGCAGCAGACCCCTCCTGTCTCGCCTGCTGCTCCTCTTAGCAGTGTATTTCAGTAGATCCCCCTGTTCTGTTGCCCTCTGGTAAATCCTCTGGCCCCCACACCTCTGGCCTATACCCCAGTTCTTCTACTAAATATTTTTTTAACAAGATAATTAAAGAAAGGTGGTGTAGGGGCAGGATGACACAGGGCAGGGTCTCTATGATCCAAGCAGACGGGGTTAAGGAGGAGTCCTGGAGCCCTTGGTGGCTTTTGGAGGCTTTTATTGGGATTTTACTGGGTACACGGGAGGCAGGGGTACCGGGGGGCTGGGAGGCTGGTAGGCCTCCCAGCCCCCAGCAAGTCTTCACTCTTTCTGGGCTCTCCGGCCTTCTCTTGTGGCCTCTGCTTCTCTGCTGTTCCATTCTTTCGTTCTTTTTGCTTCTTTGCTCTTGCTCTACTGGCGTCCCCGTGACGCCGCCCTTATAAGCCCAGTCTCTCAGCACAGGTGTATGCACTTATGCATGCCCGCACCCTACTCCAGGTGCCCGCCATCAGGCATGCGTTCAGGACCGCAAGGATCCATCACCAATCCCAATGGTGGGAGGGAAGAAAAGCCTGAAAATCACGTACCCTAACAGGAAGGGCCTTCCTGTTATCAAAACGTATTTTTATGTATGTCATCTATGTACCTAGAGAAAAACCCAAATATATGTCTTCGTTTGGGAAAAAAAGAAAGAAAATGCACTGGAAGACGATGTTTGGCATAGACACAGAGGAAGGATATTGTCAAAATCCCATAAAGAACATCTCCACGTGTTCTTAGGACGCCGACTGTCCATGGACGCTGGAACAAGGTAAGAGGAAAATGGAATTCAGTGGAAGTGGAGCCAACCCTGCCTCCAGAGCTGTGCATGCCCTGCAGGGCCTTGCCTGCTGGCTCCTTAAATGTGTCCAAAACCCACCAATGACTCTCTTTTCCAGATACCCCCTGGCCCACCCTCCAACTTATCAGTCTCCTGTGTTGTTGCTATACGTCCCTTGCCATGCTGACTCAAGCCAGGAGTCACCCTCAGCCCCTCCTCCCTCATCCCCCACCTCCAAGCAGGGGGAACCCCGCCATTCCCTCCTTTGCTGACCGATCTCCTACACCCACTGCCTCTTGTCTGGGGAGACAGGAAGCCATAAGTGTTCCTTGCCGTAAAATCTGATCTCATGATGTCAGAACCCACAACTAACCCACTGCCCATGACATCATGGCTGGCTGCCTCCGCCTGGCTCCCAAGGGCTCCACGCCGTGGCCCCGCACCCTTCCAGGCTCCCTCCCTGGCTGCTTTTCTCTCCCTAGTCTCGCTTCGCCTTCCCACTGTCCCCCACACAGGCCCATTTGATTTCTGCCTGCGCACCTGGGCCTGCAGTCCAGCCTCATTCTGCCCCAAACTACCAGTTCTTCAAGGCCCGCGTCCCTCTTACGCCCTGGCTGCTGTGTGTTTATTTTCAGCCGAGCACTCATTGGACCCTTTATTACGCATTGCTAAGTGTGTCTTTCCAACACGGCTGTAATCTTGGTGGTAAGGGCGTGGTCATACCTGTTTTCTTCATGGCTCTGCAGCACCCAAGCAAGGACGTAGGGCTGGGGGAGACATCCAGGGCTCTAAGACATGATCTCACGAATCCTTCCAACCTTAAGAACTGGATTTGGGGGTCTGTATTTTGTAGATGAGGAAACTGAAGCGCAAAGAAAATATTTTCACATCCACAGTGACAAGGAGCTGAGTCTACTTGATACCAGGGTCACTTCATAACAAAGCATCTGTTACCACTCCCTGTCTCTATTCCAAGGTGGGGACAGCCGCTCCTCAGGGAGTCCTTCCAGGACCAGTGGTCCCCACGCCCTCTTCCCTGGACTCCCCGAGCACTCACGCCCCACACGGGATTCCCTTCTCCAGGAGGTCACCTGCTTCACAGGGGAGGGTGTTGTTGGCCTGTTGTTCCACTTCATTCCCAGTGTCTCTAACAGCTCCCAGCATGTAGTTTATATTCAATAAATATTTGTTGAATGATCAGAAATCAAAAATATTGGGAGTGTGGATTCTACCTGCTGGGGGAGAACGTGAGGGGCACAGGGTCCTGCTGCCTGCCGGGCGTGTCTGCGCAAATCTCCCCAAGCAGCATTTCAGCTTTCATGGCCCCTTCTTGTGGGTGCCCCGAGGCAGGTTATGACTTGCACGGCCATGCGGAAGACCTGGGGGATGTGCTACAGGGGGCATGAGAGCTCGAACTCACCCAGGCCCCGTGCCCACCACAGTAGGTAGAGCAGACCCCCCCACCAGGACTGTGCTTCTTCCCCTGGGCATGGAAGTGTGTGAGGGGGGGCATGAGAGACCTCCCTATAAACTCTCCCTGGCTTCATGCTTTTTTAACCCGTGAATGGCCCTTCCCTGGAAACATCCCTGTTTATGACATTGTGTCATAAAGAGCTTAATTTTCACCTTTGCAAAAGAGAGCACCAGTGACTTTGGAGAAGTCTCACTGGTGCTGGGGTGCTGGGCTAGGGAATCGGGGCCAGATTCCCTCGGCTTTGCAGATGTCTCTGCAGCTGCTGGTTTCCCTGGAGGGAATGTTCAGATGTCCGGCTAGGGGTGTCTGGGTGGAGGTGTGGGATTGGTAACAGTTTCTCATGCAAGGTGGGCTCCCCTTTGTGGAAGCACCTCGCTCACAGGCAATGCCTCACAGAGAGCAGGGATCCCAGGTGCCCTAAAAGACGGGCTGGTGGAGAGAGCCTGGAGGCCCGGATTCTGGTCCCAATTCTTCCAGGCCAGCCTCTTCCCTGCTCTGAGCCTCAGTGTCGTCTGGAGTATAAGGCGCTGGGCCCTGTCTGGGAGGCTCCTTCTCAGAGGCTTGTGGGAGCGAAGCCTATGAGAAGAGCAGCACGTAGCAGAGCAAGCACAGCTGGCTCCCTCCTGCCCTTGGGCAGGTCCCACAGAGAGATCGTGGTCCTTCTTTCCTGCCGGGGATACCTGCGTGGAGCTGACATCTTCTGGCTTCTAGAACTGACTCTGAGGACCCACAGCAGGCTCCATCGGTCCACACCGGCCCTGGGGACTGCCAGGGACAGGAGGCTGAACAGAGTCACCAGGGACAGAGGTGACAGGGGGAGGAGAGCCCAGCGGTAGACCCAGATGCTGGGGTGAGGTGGGGGCTGGAAAAGTGGGACAAAGAGAGACACTGGCTTTCCCTTCCCGGGCCAGGGCATGTTGCTTCTGGGACACAGCATGATGTTGCTTAAACCCACCAGTGTCCATCTGTCCTTCCTGAGCAACCTGAGGCTGTCAACATCAGGGTCTGAGGAGTCCCCCAAGAATGGATCTCATTGGTCCCTCTCTGTGGAGGTTTTAAAACATGTCCCCCCGATTCTTAGACCCCCCGCTCTCCATGAGAGGTGGATCTGTCCCCTTGAGTCTGGCCTTGTGACTTCTGGACACATGAATAGAGTAGATGTGGCGCCTGCCAGAGCCTGGGCCAGGCCTTCTGACGCTGGCAGCTTCCTCTTCCTGTCTCACGGGATGCGGCCCTGGGAACGCAGCCACCACCTAGAGGAAGCCAGAGCAGCCCGGAGGGGAGAGGCCGCGTAGAGAGGAACCGCGCTGGAGCCTCGCCTGGCCGCGGGCCCGACGGCACCACCGTGCCAGCCGCCTGCCCGGCGAGGAGCCATCCTGGGCGCCCACCCCGCGTGCCAGCTCACGGCAGGTGGAGCCCACAAGCGCATCCCTCGCGCCCTGCTTGCCTGAAGGCGAGGCATACTTGTTGCTTTTACGCCATTCACTTTGTGGGGTGCTAGAAAATAGAAAATCAGCATAGGGTGCATGGGAAGCCAGGCTCTCAAGACCGCCCAGAAAGTCGCTTATTATATTTTTCTCAGACCAGCGAGCACCCAGCCGTCCTGTAGACCCTTCCTGGCCAAACACTCTGAATGGAGGTGATGACTGGCAGGACTTTTGTTCCTGGAAGTCCGTTCTCTTCTCGATTCATCTCTTCCTCACAATCCTGGAGCCCCACCCCCTGCGATTTTCACCTCTTCCAGGGTGACCCCTTCTTCCCAGCACCCTCTGCAGGCTCGGGGCTCGGGGACTTGAGTGCGGGACCCCTGGAGGTCTTGGGGTGTTGGGTGTGTGCAAGTGTGTGCGCATGTGCGCAGAGGATGCGCTGTGATCCCTGGAGGTGGGTGGAAGGTAGTGCAGGAACTGACTGTTTTGATTGCAGATGTTTTTGGTGGGTGGATTGGAAGCTAGCCGTGCTTCCTTAAAGATCTTTTAGAATTAAAATCAACCTTTTCTGGTTTTCCCATTCTGCTTTTTTTTTTTTTTTTTTCCAAATTTTCTGCAATGGACACAAATTGCTTTTGCAATGAAGGAAATAAAACTCACTTCCAATTCCAATACTCAGAGTTCACCAGAATTCACATTTGGTGAATTTCTTTTCAGCCTTTCATCTGTACTCAAACATCTCATGGATATTTGAGATCAGGCCAGAACACAGTTCTCTGGGTTGACTTTTCACTGTACTTTGCATTTTAAGAGTCTCTCAATAAATGTTTTCCCAAACCTGATTAATGTGTTCAAATATTAAAAAAAAAGGGTTTAGTGATTTCATTTGTTTAACATAACGTTATTTAGGCTCTTTATTTATATGTATACTTATGCTCTATCCTAATACATGATATTTATTAGTAAAATTATTGTTTAACATAACAAATATGTCAATATATGTTTGCATATCTATTTATCTTTGCTTCCTAGAAGTGGAAGTTCCAGGTTAAGTACTATGAACATTTGGGGGGACTCCTGATGTGAGTAGAAAAGGACAGACCCCATCCCTTCCGAATTATCTGCTTGGCTTCAGGAACTGTCTCCTGTCGGGGAATCTCTCAGGCTTTGACACCCAAGGGAGGACCAGGGTGGAGAAACCATGTGAAGGCATGTGAAAAAGTTTAGAGCTGGTGGGAACAAAGCTCCTCAACTTAAATAAATTTATAGATAATTGAATGATTAGGAAATAGTTTTATTTTTGGCTCAACAATACAATGAAGGATTGCCACTTGGGGAGATGCCTTCTGTCCATTACCCCGTTTGATGCTTCTGAGGACGTGTGTTCTTGCTATTCCTGTGTTTAGACGAGGGGCTCCATGAGGTTAGATAAGCTGTCAGAGTCTCACAGCTCGTTAGGGGGTCAGGCGTCAACATGGAGCGTCCTACTCACAGCAGTGAAATGATCCGCCAGCCTAGCCCCTGCATTTTCCATGGCAGAATGGAGGCAGGTGGAAGACTCTGGTGCCCTCTTACTCCCTGTCCCAATTTGCTCTTTTCTCTTTGAATGAGAGGGACCGAGATGAAGACTTAAGGAGCCCTTTCTCCATTGTCACAGATCGGGACGCCGTCCCGGAAGTTACAGAACATCATTCCCTGCAAAATGTCTGCCTTCCGTGGAAAGGATTAGAATATGAGGGCTTTCCACCCTGCCTGAGCGACCTCTGAAAGACCCTGGCAGGGAGAGGATTTCGTGGGTTTCTGGGGAGCCCTGAGTGGCTGTTCTGACCTGCATTCTTCCAGCATGTGTTGTCTAGGAGCATAAGCCTGAGGGTGTGCAGTGAGGGGAGGGAGGGTGCCGCTGGCAGGGGGACCACGGGAGTCCAGCAGATCAAGGAGTATTAATAAAGTGGCCGCTGGCTGTGAGGCCTGCCCCGAGTCTGTCTTGGGAAGGAGCCCAGAGAGCAGCCAAGGGCAGAGGGATGTGCTAGACGTCCACATCCCATGTTGAATGCCGGCATGCTGCAGGAGTCTGTGCAAACCCTCATGCTCCTAGCCACTCAATTGTACCTCTTACCTCTTCAGATTTCCTTTGCAAGATTTGTCCTCTGGAGAGCCACCCCAAGTGAACCCCTGTTGCTCTGTTCAGATGCCTCATTCCTTTCCAAAGCTTCATCTGGGGGTGGCATCCAAACTATTTAAAAACAATGAATCTAGCCCTAGATCAGTCTTAACAGATAGCCAACTCTGAAGGCAGGAGCAGCTTCCACAGGTCCTCTGCCCAAATAAGTGTTAACTCTTCAGTTGCTGGACTCAGGGGAGGTTTGCAGGTGTAGGGAGAGAGAGTGGGGTGGCCAGGGCACTAGTGGGGTGCAGGGTAGTGGCTATTTACCACACAGCGCAGATATTTTCCAACATTTTAACAACTAGTGTGGTTGTGCCTGGGTGTGCATGTATCTGGCTCAGCTCTGCCCAGATGGAAAAAAATGGAGGCTTGTCCATAGTTTCTTAGAGATGTTCAAACGAGTCTTTCCTGACCCCTCAAGGGACACACACGCTCCCAGGTCCTCCTCTCTATCCCCACACAGAGCCCAGAGTTGGTCTCTAGAGCCAGGGTTCTACAGTTGCTGAGCTCCAGCTCATCACAAACCAGCTTAAAATGCCCTGAGGGGTCGGTCTTCAGCCTCCCATGGCATCTGCACTCCTTGATGCCTCTTTCCCCCATGGCAGGTGGTCAGTTAAAGGTGGGTGAAAATTTTGATTTTGGCGGTGGATTAAATTCCTATTTGGTAATTTAAGACCTGCAGTTCTTGAAGGCAGTGTGGCCAACCAACAGTCTCTCTCCCCCCAGGGATCTGACTGTGCCTCATTTTCTCAGTGAGGATAATTGACTGAGATTCCAAAAGCTGGAATGCCAATCTTGGCTCACAATTCATGGCCTTGGGTGAGAACTTACCCTTTCAGGGATTTGATTTCCTGGAAAATAGATCTGGTGTAGCTGATCTTGCAAGCCCATTCATTTTTTTGAATATGATTCAGTGGTTGCCTTTCTCTGCTGCAGCAATGGCACATTCGTCATGGTTACAAAAGGGAAGGGAACCAGATGGTTTGGGTTCAAATGCCAGTTGAGCAACTTGGCTATTATTAGCCTTGGGGTATTCATAGGGTGCTTGTATGAGTTAAGTAACATCCTCGAGTGTTTAACATGCTTGGTCCTTAGTAAACTGTCAATAAACATTATCTATTTTTGCTGCCTCCAATTAATTATAGGTTTCATGAAGGCTGGGCCTTACCTCTGATCCCCAAAGCCCTCAGATTCTAATCCTTAGCTCACCATCCCTGTGAACCTCTGACCACCAAAGTCTCTGTCCTGTATCAAAAGGAATGGAATTAACATCCACTGAGGTTTTACTCTGAGCCAGACCCTGTACCAGATGCTTCCATACACTTTCTCATTTCCTCCTCCCAACATGGCAAGAAACAAGGACTATTTTCCACTCACTTTACTCCACAGAAAATGGAGGCCCCAAAGGAGGAGAGCTGTACCACTGCCCAGTGGTAGGTTATGGATTCAGACCAGGTCTGAAAAGCCAAGGGCTCCAAAGCCCTTGCCAGGGTGAGCAGAGGGGACGCCCCAGGAAGACAGCACCACATCAGCCCAGGTTCCCCTGGGCTGGAAAGCTGACACCCACGCATGAGAAGGAGGCCATTTGTGGGCCTTTCATCACCCTCTTCTTTCTTTCTTTTTAAAGATTTATTTATTTTGCATTCAAGAACTGGAATGTAGACCAGAGGTGTGGGGGGTAGGGGGTTAAGAGTATTCACCTCAGTGGGGAACAGAACAGGCAGACTGACTGAAGTACACTGCTGAGGGCAGCAGCGGGCGAGACAGGAGAGGTCTGCTGCGCCATGTGGGTAGTTCCCTGGCTGGGGATAAAATTCATGTACAGTGGCTGGAGATAGCTTGATAGTGCTGTGTCTTTAACCCCTGCGCCACCAGGGAGGCCCAATCTCCCTCTTCTTTCAAGCCAGGCTTACAGATCCAAATGTAACAAAGACAGAACCTTGTTGATAAAGCCCTCTTCCCTGGGAAAAGGAAGATTAAAAAAGAGGAAAAGAAGGGAGAGGAAAAGAACAGAGGGAGAGAGTGGGAGGGAACAATATTTTGATAAATATTTTCTGTTAATAAATTCCATTTTGTCTCTAAAATGTTTGCCAACTATCTAAGCAGGAAAATTTTTCACATACCAGGACAAAGCGTCGCCGAAAGGCCTCTCCCGCCGTCGCTCTGCCTGCAGCCCCTGTTTCCATAACCTCCCAGGAGGCAGCCTCTCCTGGATGCTGATGGTCTTCCCGTAGGAAGATCTGTCTTTTCCGTGAAGGAGATTCAGGGAGCTTTAGGCAACTCGATTCCCAGCTTGGGGACAAGGTGTCCTAGAAGCTCTGCAGGCCTTCGTGTGTCCAAAATTCTCTTCCCTTCTCCTTTCCCTTCTCTCACCCTCTCTCCACCCAGAGGGTAGAAAATGTCCACCTCGCTGCTTTCCTGCTTGTCTTCCAGGGCCCCCACCTCTCTCCGTCAGAAACTTCTCTCTCCTACCCCCTTGCACTTTAGTCCTTTCCCTCCATCTGTCCAAACTTGTTAGGTTGTGAAGAAATTCTCAGACGCTCAGTGTCATCTTCCTACTCCCCCAACACTGCGTCTTCATGCCTGCATTCATTCATTCTGCAAATTTTACTGGAGGGCCATTGGGAGTGTGTCCATCTTTGAAAAGTCCATGAAGTCCTGATATTGTGTTTGGAGAAAATTCTAGCTAGTGCCAAGGACTTGTTCCTTTTGTCTTACTGAATTGGCTTGGGGAAAAAAACCACTTGAAGATCCTATGGGCACAATGGTGCCCAAACTTACCATTCAGGGACTCCTGAAGCCATCTGGGGAATATCTGGATGAAAAGGAGAGACATCGTCTAAGCCAATCTGCCAAACTGGAGAGAAAATGTGGATCTAGTTAAAACTTAAATGAGGCCAGAGTGTTGATTATTTTTCCTCCTGATGGACCATCTTTCTATCTCTAGCTCAACTTTTCCTTTCTGTGCTCGAGAGAGGCCGGCTTCATTCATGCAAATGAGGAGGGCGACATTTAACATGGCTGCTGTCTCAGAAGGTATCATGTTCACTCTCTGATGGTGTTAAATTACTCTTATTTCTTACTCTGATGGACTTTGGAGACTTTTTATAAGACCTCATAGTTTCTTATTCTGTTAGGTAATAGAATCAGGACCATAGATGAGCAGATGTCCCTCAGGTCATTGAACCCAAGGACTTGCCTTGCTGGGACTTGCTGTTTGGTGGAAGAGAGATGTGAGACATTAATATGGGTGGGTCAGTGTAATGTAGCTCTTGTAGCAAAAGCCAGCTCTACTCTTTCTGATTTGGCACTTTGTCCTTTGCAATTGAATGGTTGTTTTAGCATATACTCTTTGACATTGCAATTCTATTTCTCAAAATTATTCTATTTATGTGTGAAATAGCGCCTATGTGTGGTTGTTATAGGAGTGTCCATAATAGCAAATTATTTAAAATATACCTGGAGTCCACGAGTAGGGTATTAGTTAAACATAGAATGGTACAGACACATGATGGAATTCTACCCAACTGTAAAAAAAAAAAAAAAAAAAAAAGAAAGAAAAAGTTCTTTTCATGCAGTCATGAAATAATCCCTAAGAAACATTACTTTATTTTTAGATTTTTTGACATTATATTTAGAGATACTATTTTTTTTCCTTTTTTAAAAAAATTTATTTTTGCATAGAAGAAGTAGGGTGTAGGCCAGAGGTGGGGGCAGTGAGAGGATTCACTAGAGATACAGTAGGGAGCAAAACAGGCAGATCCACTGAAATACACTGCTGAGGGGAGCAGCAGGTGAGCCAGGAGAGGTCTGCTGAGCCATGTGGGTCATCTCCCTGGCCAGAGATCAAACTCCGGCCAACGTGGTGTCTATCAACATGGACACTATCACTGTCTCAGTGATAGTGCTGAGACTTAACCCCTAGGCCAACAGGGAGGCCCAAGAGACATTCTTGAGAGAAAAACAGCAAAGGGCAGAATTTAGTGTTTTTTGTGTTATTGCTTTTGTAAAGAAAAGGAAAATTGTGTGTGTGTGTGTGTGTTTGTGTGTATGTGTGTGTGGTGGTGATGGTGGTGGTGGTAGTAGAGGAGGGGTTGCTTGTAATGTGCAGAGTATCTCCCAGAGGCCACAAGAGAGGATACAAGTTGAAAGGAGACTGTTCACTCAATCCCCTTTTGTACCTTCTGACTTTTAAACCCTGGATGTATTACTTCCAATATTTCACTTTACTTCAAGAGGAAGAACAGAGGTTGGTGGGAATCCTGGAAAACTGAACTTGGATGCCCTTTATCAAGCAAGCAACTTTATCCATCACTGGCAGGTTTGGTATCGCCAAATCTTCCAATTTTTAAAGAGAAATTGTGAATAATGTTTAATGGATCTTCCAATTTAAAATGTTGGCTCTATTAAAAAACCATGGGCAGGATGAGGAAGGTTCACAAGCTGAGCCCATCCGCATGTGACCCTGTGGTGGGAACTCCAGGATCCCTCAGGAGGCTGCTGTCACTACTTGGGGAGAGGTCATCAAGATCACCCGGGTCAGGGCTGGCAAGGACAGGACAGAGGAGTAGAGACTAGGTGTGTGGAGGTGAGTGGGCCAGAAACAGCAGGATCCAGTGATAATTGAATGGGAACATAAGAGAGAAGGAGAAGTGGAAGAAATTTGGATTTTCAACCTTGAGTGGTTTGGAAGAGGGAGTGATTTATAGACAAAATGGATTGAGAATGGTTCTGAAATCAGGAAGACATGGGATCTCACCCCTTTTCCACCGTTTAGGGTAAATTTAGGGTTATCTTATCATTACGTAGAGATAGTAAGAGACAGTATCATAATATTGAGTATTAAATAAAAAGAATGGTATCATTTATTAAATACATAAAATGTGTGTGAAGTGATAGTAAACAAAAACAATACATGCCAGTGTTTCTGGCATTTCATTTCATTCTCCCTACTCCCCTTTCCCCAGGAGAAGGCCTGGTGGAGCTGACTTCACTCTGGTTGTGGGACTAGGTGAGGGCTGTCGTGCAACCCCGCCCTCATCAATGAGCTTGGTGAGAACAAGTTCCGCCACTTCCACTGGGAGGGCACAGAGCTGAGGGGGTGCCATCTTGCCACCCCAGGGAGAGCGGGTTTGTGATGGAGTTAACAGGGTTGGCAGAGAGAGAGAGAAGTCTATGTCCTAGAGAATAATCAGTGCCATGCCCACTCCACGCCTGGCGCTTTCAGCTACAACCGAGCCAGTGTGTCCTCTGAAGAAACAGGAAACTCAAGCATCTCTGGACTGAGGACACCAACTGCTAAGAGGCCAATCATTGTTTGGTGTCCCAGGATTCATCAGTTTCCTTAATCCCCTGGATATTTTGTGGAGGTGGAGATGGTGTGAGTGACACCACTGAGAATTGCCCCTTCCTGCTGGCAACAGTCTTATAACAGTGTCACCAGAGGTGTTGAGATTAGTGAAAACTCAGACAGCCAAGTGTGAGTCAGAGGTGACACAGGGGGACAAAGATGCTGCCGTGACAGCAGGGTGGGACAGCATGAGGGAGTTAAGGGCTTGTTTCTAGATTCCTGAATGGGGAATCTTTGGGGCAAAGCCTGGGATTCCATGGCCTGGAGCAGCAGGCAACCAGCTCAGCTCTGCTCTCTGGTCAGTCAGGTTGGGGTCACCAGGTGCAGTGAGCACTGAAACACCAACCCCCCTGGTGTAACACATGCAGTCATCAAAAGGTTGAAGTCCTTCAGGCTGGAGAAAGTGAGGCTACCTGCCCACCTGAAATTTACCCCCAAGGGAGGGTCGGGCAGGGTGTGTGTTAAGTGTTAAGTGAATGTCCATCTTTCTTTCTAAATGATCTGGGAGAGGGGGTGTCCAGGTCCTGTTCATTTCAGTAACCTCAAAAGAACCCAGAAAGAGCCGCCACATAGAAAGTGCTAGAATAGAATGTTTCACACAGAAACAAACTGGAAGACTTTAGTGACCTGCTTCTCCTTGTCCTGGAAGAACAACCCTAACACGTGGGCCAGACTTGAGACTGGACAGTGGGACCCCAGTGTGCAAGAGGGAGGGCAAGGGAGGAGGGATGAGTGGCCATCTCAGACCTCAGACCTCCTTTCAGCAAAAAAGCAGTTCCATCTGCCTCCAAAAGCACGGGAGAAAAATGGCTACTGCAATGGCTGGGTTGGTGGATGTAAAGTTTTCCCGGGATAATAATTCAAAAGCCAAATTCAGGGCCTCCCCTCGTGGTACAGCGGTTGAATGCTGGGCTGTGAAGCTGCCCACAGCCTCTGCAGTGCCAGTTTGATCCCCAGCCGCCGGCGAGGGTCCCAGATGGCGCGCAGACCTTTCCTGCCGCACCCGCTGCTCCCCTCAGCAGTGTATTTAGTCAGTCTGCCTGTTCTGTTCCCTGCTCTGGCTCTGGTGAATTCCTACTCTGGCTCTGGTGAATTCTCTCACCCTCCCGCACTTCTGACTGTACCCAGTGCTTGTATAAATAAATAAATAAATCTTCAAAAAAAAAAAAAAAAAAAAGGCCAAATTCAGCTCTCACAGTAAATGTGATGAGCAGGTGGCCCTTGAGCAATTCAAATTAAGTTATCCATTTATTCAACAAACTTGTACCAGGCTGTGCACTGAGGATTCCAAAGTGACTGAGAAATATTTTCAACCTTCATAGACTGTGTGAATCAAGACAATTAATTACACCACTGGGTTGTACCTGTGGTGATGAGACCCTGTCAGATGGCCCCTTCTGTGGACCTGCTTCTTCATCTGGGCATTAAGTGTTCCAGATCATAAGGGGAAGGTGAGGTGATTAGATATACCTTTTGTGGGCATACTTGGAGGAGGAACTTGCACCCAGTTTGGGCTCCAAAGCAGATGCTGAGTGGTGATTCTCAAGCACTTAGTGCCTATTAGAATCAGAATCTGGTAGGGAGCTCATTTTAGAAAGGAAGTTTCTTGGGCCGACCTGGGGATTCTGATTTGGTAGGTTTGGGTTGGAGTCTCATAATGCACATTAAAAAAATATTTATTTATGCATTCATGGAAGAACTGGGGTGTAGGCCAGAGGTGTGTAGAGTGAGAGAGTTGGGAGAAGAGGCAGATTGACTGAAATACACTGCTGGGTGGAGCAGTGGGCGAGACAGGAGAGGTCTGCTGTGCTGTGTGGGTCAGCTCCCTCGCTGGGGATTGAACTCAGGCCATAGGGATGAGAGTGCTGACTTAACCCCTACACCACCAGAGAGGCCCATATAATGTGCATTTTGAAGAAGTATCTTGCCTTGATTCTGAGGCAGACCACCCATGGACCACACTTCAGGAAAAATGCTCTCCAAAGAGGTGTTAAACGTTCCCCAGCTGTCAGCCATTCACTTTGGCTGGGCAGAAGCACCCAGGAGAGAGCCTGGATTTAGCTTCTTCCCCTAGATCCAGGTTTCAGCGTTTCTCTATGAGACAGCTGGAAAAAAATTGCCATGCTACCTGTCTGTGTAACAGCAAGCACGTCTATTCACACAGCTATTCTTGATTTAGCTGTTTCAGAAGAAACAGGGTGAAACTGCAGTAGGGAGTCTAAATAGTTTCCTATTGCAAAAAGACTGAACTACCCTAAATGAGCAAGTGCGTAAAGCATTAAGAGTACAGGCTTTGAAGCCAGCTTACCGCCGTTTTAAATCTGAGCTTCTTCCCCACCTCACTGTGAGACCTGGAGCAAATTGCTTTACTTCTCTGCCTCAACTGTCTTATATGAAAATGAAACTGATAATAATAGCACCGACCTCAAGGTGTGTTACTGGAGTCACATGAGCTGTTATGGTCAAACAAGATTAATAATGAAACAATGTAAAAATGAAGAATGATGTAAAAAATATATAAAATTAAATTAAATTTAATTTAAAAAAGAAAAAAGACAAAGAAACTTAATGTAAAAAAACTCTTCAGGGGCCAGAAACCAAGAGGGAAAACTGAAAACTAGAAAATCAGTTCCTGGGTTTTGTGATTATAGTGGGAGTGGAGGAGCAGGGCGATGTGACAGCAGCTTTTAGTTTCACAGGAGTTTGGGTTTTAATACTGTGCAGGGACAAGAAACATGATCTTGAGCCTCTGGGAGGCAGGGTGTTGGCGCTGTGAAGTCCACAGAATGTCAAGACCCTGGAAGGACTCCATGCTTTAAAAAAATTAGAGACCAGAAATAATCCCCCTCTAGCATAAAAAAAACGGGAAGAAAGCTTTTTTTTATCTTGAACTGAGGCTAGGTGAGAAGGGGGAAACTCTCCCTTAAGAATTCAGAACCACTGGCATGCCTCTTTACAGGGTTTAGGGCTTGAATAAACAGCTCTTGTGCAGCCTAGAAACCTTTGCCCTAAGAAATGCCTACAATTTGGTCTCAGCCAATGATAATCTGTTAGAAGCAAACACTTTGATTATACTGATTTCTCCAGACTAAATCTCCATTGAAGATGAACTCACAATCCGAAATCACACAATACACAAGGAAACACCACGAGCAAGAACCCACAGATCCAGACAAGGATAAGATCCCCTAAAACTTAGATTATGGAACCATCACAGGAGATCATAAGCTAAGTCGGCTTAAATGATTAATAGCATAAAAGAAAGTTTCAAAACATAACAAATATCTAGAGAGTGAACAAAATCAGGTGGACTTAAAAATAAAACAAAAAGTACTTGTTTTAGAGAAAAAAAAAATCATTAAAATTAAAAACTCAAAGAATACCCTAAATAGTAGATCAGACATAGTTAAAGACAGACACGGACAAAGAATTATTGCACGTAGAGGTTAATTTAGAAACTCATCCAAATGGAAGCCAGGAATAAAAAGTATGAAAGAGATCTTAGGAGACAGTGAAGATAAACATTAAAAAGCCTACCATATATCTAATAGGCGTTCCAGAAGAGAAAATCAATGAAATGAGATGAGGCGATGTTTGAAGGGAAGGTACATGAGAATTGATAAAAGGTGAGAATGTTTAGATTCGGGAGTCACCATGAACCCTAAATCAGATTTATAAAAGCAAATATTCTTCTGGGTATACCTAGCATAACTGCAGAACACCAAAGACAAAAAACTTTTTAAAAAACCAGAGAGAAAAGATTGAGATTCATTACAGTTGAGAAAGCAGAAGGAA